ATAGGGAGGTCAAGGCCAGCCACAGCTACACAGAGATCTTGTCTCAAAAAGTCATTGCCGGGAGGTGGCGGCGCACGCCTTGAATCCCAGCACTCAGAAGGAAGAAACAGGTTGATTGAACTCTGTGAGTTCGAGGTCAGCCTGGTCTCCAGATTGAGTTCCAGGACAGCCTGTTATACACAGAAACCCTGTCTCCAAAAACCAAATAAATACATAAGCCTGCGGCGGCTGGGAAGGTTAACAACCTCAGGTCAATCCCAGAACACACTTCTCTTCTAAACTGTCCTTCACCTCCAGCCCTGTGGCATGTGCACTGTGCCCTCCCACACTAATTTAATTTCTCAAAACAGAAAATGGGCCTGGGAGTGGGGGGGCTGCACACCTTTGATTCTAGCACTGGGAAGGCTGAAGCCAGCAGTTCTCTGAGTTCATGGCCAGCCTTGTCTACATAGAGTTCCAGGACAGCCTAGGCTACACAGAGAAACCCTGTCTCAATAAACAAAAAGAAAAAGAAAATGCCCGGCTTTATGTCGTCAATAAAAATGAAGGGCTCGATATAACTCAAGAGAAAGCTTTGCCTATGCACGAGGTCCTGGGTTCAGCCCTAGAACAGCAACAAACCCAGTGAGAACATTGCAGTCTTCCTGTTTTAACCCGGAGAGTAAGTTCTCAGCTACTGCACATGGTTTAATTTCATCCTATAGAAACTGAGGCCTAGTGGAACACCCTTTCCAGCAAAGCAGCCAACACAACAGTCCCCCTGGCCCCACCAGGCCCCACCCTTGGCCTTAAGAGAGCTTCAGGAGGAAGTTAAATTGTACTGCCCTCTACCACCCAACACCCTTGGACACTAACACCCTGGGACCTGCACCATGCTTGCTGGGGCCCTGTTGGTGCCTGGCATTTCTCACTATTTCTGGGAGCCAGTGTTAAACACACCCGATCTCCACACCCCTTTAAGCCATATTTCATTGTGTGTATCATAAGCCTGTTCTGTTAACATTGGAAGAAAACAAAGGAGATTCTGAATTAAAAGAAAAACATGGGAAAACTAAACTGATGTAGACCCAACCTCTACCCACAGACCACAGGATACCACCTGCAACAGGGGTGACCCAAAAGGCTGGCCACGATGATGGCTTCCTCCTGGGCACTGACACTTACCGTTTATAGGGGTCATAGGTGGGGCTGTCTCTATGGAGACAACAGGAAGGACAGTGGAGAGCTGAGACTGGGCCGGTGTGAGCCTGAGCCTATCCCACCTAGAGCTGAAGACTATGCACCCCACCTGCTTATGGGGACCCCACATCTGTATCCTTCGCACAGCATGAGCAGCCGTGGGGGGCCCCGGCTTTCCAACCCCACACTGGAGGCCACTTCTCCAGGATAACCGGTCCCCGATGCTGGTGTGAAAACAACAGCATACCTAACTTAACTCAGTGCCTCTTTTCAAGAACTCTGACTAGTCTCTCTTCATAGGAGAGGGAACAGTCCAGAGAGGACGAGTGACTTGCCCAGGGTCACACTGTTCATGAGTGAAGGAAGGTCTCAGCTCAGGCATCTGGCCTGCAGCCAGCATTTCTGGTTGATTCACTGGCTGACCCAAACTAAAAGCAGCGAGGAGGGTTATCAGGGCTGCCCGGCCCCGAGCAGTCCACCCTCAGAGCCGCTTTCTATCCCGCTCCTTTAGGAGAGGTTTGCCTAGGGCCACCAGGCAAGACTTTCCTATCTGCAACTGCTCCACCCAACCCTGTCTCAAGACTTCCATGTGGGGAGGTAAGGGCCAGGCCACTCTCCCCACTTTCCAGTGGAAGAAACTGTAGCTAGAAGAAGAAAGGAGGACTTATCTAGACACTACAGAGGCGACAGTGAGCAGCCTGTGACTGGGGCCCTGAGTTCTGGCCACAGTCCCTCTAGCCATCCCCAAGAGCTTCCTGTTCACTCCCCAAGAGTCCCCAGGCCAGCAGGGTTGGTGGGACAGGAGGCAGAGGCAAGTACCCACAAGGCAACCCCGCTTCTCCTCACTAGTAACTGTCACTCCGAGCATCATTACAATGACCCTTTCCTGAAAGCAAGGCTGGGCTCCACCCCCAGCCCGGCTGGTGAGTAAACAGGCCCAGGGAGAAACCCTACCTGGGAGGGCTGATCTTCCGGCCCCTCAGCCGCTTCTCCCTGAATTCTCTTCGCTGTCGCCGGGAACGCCGGCCCTGGAGAGGGAGTACCAGGATGGTGAGGGGTGTGTCGTCACCTCCCTCTTCGCCTTTGCCCTCTTCTCCCTACCCAGACCTCACCGAGTACATGGCTTTCTCCTCCTCCAGGGCCTTGGCATGTTTAATGGCCTCTGCCTCCTCCTTGTCTTTCCGTAGCATCCTGCAGAGGGAGAGAGAATCAGCATGAAGGGCACACGCCACAGAGTGAGCTGAGCCCCAGTAAAGGCAACGAGGACATCAGGGACTTAAGGTCACTTCATGACTCTCGGATACAAGTCTTCTTTCTCCCTGAGGAAGGGTATTGCCGTCACAGGCCAGACGGGTCTTGAACTCACTAGGTAGCCTTGGCTGGTCTTGAACTCACTAAAGCATCCTTTCAGCTAAGTGATGTGTAGACATGCATTTTCCCTGCCCTTTCTTTTCCTTTCCTGCCCTTCCCTTTGATGGGGTCTTGTTCTGTAGTTCAGGCTGACCTGGAACTTACTACCTAGGCTGGCTTTGAACTCATGACCTTTTTGCCTCAGGTTCTGTACTGCAGGATCATAGATGTGGGCTACCACACCAAATTTCTTTGATACAGTCAAAAGATTTTATTGAGCACCTAAAAAAATGTTTTATGTATCTGGGGGTTTTGCCTGAAAGTGTGTCTGTGCATCACATGTGTGCCTGGTTCCTTGGGAGTGGGTGCTGGGAGCCCAACCACAACACAATCACACGCAGTCTCCTTGAGAGCCTTCTGAAAGACAGGTGCTGCTTTAGGAGTGAAGTGATCAGCACTCGGGGCTAGAGAGATGGCTCAGAGGTTAAAAACAGCTACTGCTTTTCCAGAGGACCTGAGTTCAGTTCCCAGTACCCACAATCTGATAGCTCACAACTGCCTGTAACTCCAGGGCCAAGGGATCTGATGCCCTTTTCTGGCCTCCACAAATACCAGGCCAGCACACAATGCACAGAACTAACTACACAGAGGCAAAACACTCATACACATAAAATTCAAAACAAAAAACAAAACAAAACAAACAAAAAATCAAAACAAAAAACCAGAGCCCGCCAGGTGGTAGTTGCGCACACCAATCCCAGCACTCAGGAGGCAGAGGCAGGCGGATGTCTGTGAGTTCGAGCCCAGCCTGGTCTACAGAGCCAGTTCCAGGACAGACTCCAAAGCTACACAGAGAAACCCTGTCTCAAAAAACAACAACAAAAATCACCGTGCTAGAGGGTTCTGGGTTCAGATTTGGGCAGGGACCTGGGACTGATCCCTAGGTTCCACACAAAAACAGTTTCTGTTCTGTTGATGCCACTGACTTAAAGAGAGCTCCAGAGGCCAAGGCCGAGGCCCACACAGCATGATCGTGTGAAGGTCCAGTGGTACACCACTAGAGGGTGCTGTCCCCAAAGAAACTAGTAGCTTCCAGGTGACATTGTGTGGCAGAATCTCTGTGCAGAAAGTTCCAGTGGCATAGTTCACAGGCTGACAAGGACAGCGGTGGTAGCAGAGAGGTGGCTCGGAGGCCAGGGCAGGCAGAGTCGCACACGTCAGTCAGTGGTCTCACCTGACAAAGTCTCCGTCAGCCATGCCGTAGGTCGTGGCCTGCTTATTGAGATCAGCCACCTGCTCCTGGTTCAGCTCGTCCACATCCACCTCCACGTCTGCACCAAGACAAAGGCTGTCAGGTACCCACGCCCCAGGAGAAGACAGAAGGGGGTGGGGCCCCAAGTGGGGGAGGTCTCCCAGGTGGAGCACCTCCAGGGAGGACGCCACAGCTGTGCTGGCCCAGCTGAGGCCCGCACAGCACACTGCACAGCAGGGACCAGGAGAGGAGGGTGGATGAGAGAAGAGGACAGGAGGCGGGAAGGGACCGACAGGGGTGAGACGGGGTGAGCGTCAGATCAGCACAAGGCGGGAGGGCAGGAAGGACAGACACAGACGTCAGCTCTGCCTGAGGCAAAGCCGGCATGTACATCAGTAGGATGGAATGGAAAGGGGGCGGCCGCAGTGCTCTCCCTGGGAGGGAAAGCGGCGAACGAGGGGGATGAGGAGGGCAGCAGCTCTAGGAAAGCAGAGATTCTTTCCCAGAGCACAGCAAGGCCGACCCAGGTACAGGAGGAAGAGCCACCTCCTAGGTGGAAAATCTTGTAGAAGCAGTGCCCAGAAATGAGTGGGAGAGGGCACAGGGACAGAGAAGGCTGGGAGTGACAGGGAGGTGGGGGAGGCTGAGGCCTGGAGCTCGGGCAGGGGAAGGTCTTGTAAGCACGGGTACCCCGCAGAGGGTGAGGGACGAGACACAAAACCGATGCCCAGGGGCTGCAGGTGGGGAGGGCAGAGAGGGGACCCCACCGATGTCGGGGATGACCTCATCTTCATCCGAATTGCTCTCCTCCTCAGCTGGTGACTCCTCCTCCTCTGGTTTCTCGGCCACCTTCTCTACCTCTGCCTCTGTACTGTCTTCATAGGTGTAGCCAATGGAAGCCTTCTTCTCTGCAAGCCTGGGAAAGGAGCCATAAGTCCAGGGCTACCCTGAAGAACAGGGCCACAGGCAAGCCCCAGAAGGGATCCTGGGTCCTTGGCAACAGTGTCCACCTAAGCTGTTCCAGTCTGGCCTGCCAGCCTTGTCCATGGTGGCTCACTCCAGTCAGGAGACAAGCCTGCCTGCACAGGCCTAAGTCCCATTGAGTGCAAAGTGTGCCCCAGCTCTGCTCTCAGGGGCCACACTGAGAGGCCACTGCTGGCTTGGGCTGTTTATAACCCCTGCCTCATCCCAACACCCTTATCCTGAAGGCAAGGTTTGAGTCTGGGAAGTGCCCGGGCCTGTCAGGAAGCAGATCACACAGTGGGTCGGTGGTCCCAGATCTCATCAGGGCTCCAACTACAGTGTCCAGTCAGGCTGGCTTTTGAGACAGCTGGCAACCCTGGGCTAAGGCCCCCAAGCCTCTGCAGAGCGACACCCGCATCTCTAGGTTGCAAATTCACTGCACGCAGGGACTGGGACAAGTGCATGACACCCCCCAACCCATGTCCCTCGCATCTCCTGACTTAAGGCCGACCCCAAGGGCTGCCTGCCCTCGGCCCCC